CAGAGCTGGGAGGCACATATCTCACAGGGGTGAGAGTTGCCGTCCTGCCCTTAAATAAGGTTTTCTTATTTACACTGTCTGTGTGCAGGCCTGGGAGATCACGAAACGGACCTGTGCGTACACCAACCACACCGTGCTGCCCGAAGCCCTGGAGCGCTGGCCGGTCTCCATGTTCGAAAAGCTGCTGCCCCGTCACCTGGAGATCATCTACGCCCTCAACCAAATGCACCTGGATGTAAGGGACTGGGCTGCTTGCGGGCTGTGGGTCTCGCCCCAGCTGTCTTTTAGGATGGGGGTGCTTCCAGGCCCTACAGCTGGGTTGCTGATGCCCCTCTTCCTGCACACAGCGCGTGGCAGCTCTCTACCCAGGGGACGTTGACCGTCTCCGGAGGATGTCGGTGATCGAGGAAGGAGACTGCAAGCGCATCAATATGGCACACCTCTGTGTGATCGGCTCTCACGCCGTCAACGGCGTGGCCCGCATCCACTCCGACATCGTGAAGCACTCCGTGTGAGTTGGGGGGCACCCGCGGCGTGCACCAACCTCCCCTCTCCTCTGCTCACTCAGCTTCGCCTGCCAACCCAGGGGGCTGGCTGGGGCAAACAGGCATCATTCAGTTGTCCTGCTGGGTTGGAGGGCTGGAGAGACAATCTTATTTGAGAGTGTATGGGGTCTAACTCACCTCCCTTCAGAGCTGGTGAAATCCTAGGCATTAGAGCCGAGGAAGGGGTTTGAGAGGCAGAGTGGCTCAGTGTGCCCCCTACTCCCTGATGTGCCAGGTTCAAGGATTTCTACGAGCTGGAGCCGGAGAAATTCCAGAACAAGACAAACGGGATCACGCCACGGCGCTGGCTTCTGCTGTGCAACCCGGGACTGGCCGATGTCATCGCCGAGGTGAGCGAGGGGCTGAGCTGTGATCCCCGCTGTTGGCTTCTGGGCACTTCACAAATCCTGAACAGAGCCTGAGGGAAAAGGTCTGGCAGGTGTGAGCGAGGACAGCCCGCTAGGAGCATGCCTGTTGCATGTGTAGGTGTGAGGTCGGCTGAGCTTTAAAGTCTCTGGGGAAGAGCTGGCCAAGGAGTTGCAGAAATTTGGGTCTGGCTCCTTTCCCTCGCAGGGAACTTGTGGATGGGGGGAGATATCCCGCAGGTGAAACACCCCTCTTTTGATTCCTTCCTTTAGAAAATCGGGGAAGGCTTTGTCACGGACCTGAGCCAGCTGAAGAAGCTCCTGGATTTCATCGATAACGAGATGTTTATCAGGGATGTGGCAAAAGTCAAGCAGGTAATGAGCGCTGGAGGCGAGGGGGAAGAAGGGTGAAGGCAGTGGGGAACACCCCAGCAGCCAGCCCTCGCTGCTGGCACAAGGCCTGCTGCTCATCAGATTTTCTCGCCAGGAGAACAAGCTGAAGTTCTCAGCCTACCTGGAGGAGCAGTACAAGGTCAAGATCAACCCTTCATCCATGTTTGACGTTCAGGTCAAGCGAATCCACGAGTACAAGCGGCAGCTGCTGAACTGCCTGCATGCGATCACCCTCTACAACCGTAAGTGCTGCCTGGCAGGGCCTGGTAGCCCCGGGGTGCCCCTTGCCAGCCCCTTGCTGCCAGCATCCCCGTGTAAATGCCCTCCAGCTGGTGGCCAAGGACACCTGAGCCTGGCGGTGTCAGGAGTATGCCCTGCTCCCATGTGTCTGCTTCATCCCCCTGCCCCTTCCCAGGGGGAGGCAGGTCGTTGCAGCTCTGATTCGTGGCTGTCTGGAGAAGCTTTCCAAGTACTTTGCAGCCCAGTTTTGCCCAGCACGGCTTTGGCAGATGTCTGGTTGGGCTTTGGGGTTGTGCAGGTGTGCTGGGTTCGCGGCCCATCTTTGCTTCAGTAGTTTCTGCCTTGCTCTTCCAGGCATCAGGAGCGACCCGTCCAAATCCTTTGTGCCTAGGACGATTATGATCGGGGGAAAGGTAAAGTGCTCCCCAGCCTCGGTGCACGGGTGGTATTGGGACGTGAGGAAGGTGCTGGTCCCTTCTGGGGGCTTTGCTGGGTTTGCTGTGGGTTAGCCAGCGGGGGTCTGTGCCGGTGGGCTCTGTCATGGACTAGTTGATCAGGTCCTCCTGGGGCTCAGGGCTTCTCCCAGTAGGGTTTTGGCTGATCCATGTGAAGAGCAGACCCATGTGAGGCCCAGATTCTCCCCCCAGTGAGGACCTGAACTGGCACCTCTGTGCCCTGCCTTCCTTAGGAGCCCTCACCCTCTCTGGGCTGCTCTTTTTCAGGCGGCCCCCGGCTACCACATGGCCAAGATGATCATCAAACTCATCACGTCCATCGGCGAGGTCATCAACAACGATCCCTACGTGGGGGACAAGCTCAAGGTCATCTTCCTGGAGAACTACCGCGTGTCCCTGGCGGAGAAGGGTACGTCTGTGGCGCATGGAGGAACACAGCAGGAGTTGTCCATGCCCCAGCTGAGCCCAGAAGCTGGTTTGACAGAAGGCTGTCGCAATCAAGTCATCTGGGCACCCTGAGGAAAGGGCTGTGGGGCTTTATGTGGGGCAGGGAGCCAGCCTGGGGCAGGGGCTGGCCTTTTTGTGCCTGGCTGTGGCCTCTGGGCTGAGCTGGAAGGGGCAGCAGGCCACGAGCAGCTCCCAGAGTTGTCCTGCTATCCTGCAGCCGGCCGAGGGCTAACTCCCACCTCTCTTGCACCCGGCAGTGATCCCAGCAGCGGATCTCTCCCAGCAGATCTCCACAGCTGGCACGGAGGCCTCGGGCACCGGCAACATGAAGTTCATGCTGAACGGGGCCCTCACCATCGGCACCATGGATGGAGCCAACGTGGAGATGGCCGAGGAGGCAGGCGAAGAAAACCTCTTCATCTTCGGCATGCGGGTGGAGGACGTCGAGGCCCTGGATCGCAAAGGGTCGGTGCTGGGGGGCGCTCTGCCCTCCCTGTCCTAAACATGTCCCAGTTCTTGGGGTGCTGGGACCCAGGGGACGGCCCCAGCCCCTACAGCCCTTCTGTGCCTCCTCCTCGTGCAGGTACAACGCGCTGGAGTACTACGAGCGCCTACCGGAGCTGCGGCAGGCCATCGACCAGATCAGCAGTGGGTTTTTCTCCCCGCGGGACCCCGGGTGCTTCAGGGATGTTGTCAACATGCTCATGCACCACGACAGGTGAGACCTGGGGACGATGACCGTACTGCCCCGCCTGGGACCCCGCAGCAGGCACTCCCCAGCCTTACTATGCCCTCTGGCTTTCAGGTTTAAGGTGTTTGCTGACTACGAAGCCTACATTAAATGCCAAGGCCAAGTGGACCAGCTGTTCATGGTAAGAGCTGCCCACAACCCCAGCGGGAAATGTGGGGGCAGCTGGGCTGAGCGTGCCCCTGGGGTGCCCTTCTCACACCCCACAGCGTTTGTGGGGCACGGGGCAGGGTGAGGTGGGTTTTGAGGTTTCAGCAGCCCCACAGCACCGTATTTAAAGCCATGCATATAGCTGGTGCCCTACGTGACTGCTGCCCTTGCCTCCCCTCTTCCCAGGACCCCCGGGAGTGGACGAAGAAAGTCATCAGGAACATCGCCTGCTCGGGCAAGTTCTCCAGCGACAGGACCATCACCGAGTACGCCCAGGAGATCTGGGGGGTGGAGCCTTCCTCCACCAAAATCCCCCCACCCAACATCCCCCGGGACTGACGCAAGCACAGAGGGGAGGAAAAGGAGGGGAGGGTGCCCAGCCCCGCAGCCCTCACCCGCATTTCACCGCCGGCTCTGTAAGAGCGAGGCCTTTCCCTTGGGGGTAGAACGGTGCTCTGAGGAGGAGCCCTGCCCGAGGACCGGGAGCTGGGGGAGAGGCGAAAGGACCCCGTGTTTGCCCCCACGTCCCCAGCCTGCACGTGCTTGTAGTGAGACAGCCACGGATCAGTCTTCCGCAACCGCTCCACGCTTAACAAGGGATCTCCAGCTCCCTCCTGCCCTCCCCCTGCATGCGGCCTGGCCTCCCTGCCCCACAACAGGGTTCAGACAACCCCGAGTGTCTTGTGTCTCCTCCAGGGGCTGTGCCAGCCCAGCAGCAAGGGGAAGGAGAGGCTGCTGCCTGCCCTCCCAGCCTCCCCCTAACCCCAGGAGGCCTGGAGCAGGGACTGGGCGTTAGATGCACTGCCTCCAGTGCAGGTGCCGCCGCCGTACACTGTGATCCACCAGGAGGGATCAGCAGCCGGGATCACAGAGCTTGCTGTAGCCTCCTCCCCACCCATTAATTGAAAACCCAGTAGCCGAACCACTCCAGGGATATTTTTTTGTTTTTTTTTTGTGTGTGTTTTTTTTTAAAGCATCTGTATCTGTGTGGAACAGGTTCTGCTTGCCATGGCCAGCTGGGTGTATGCCAGCTCCCATGTCCCGCACTGCTCCACGTGTCCCTTGTGGGGCTGGGGTCAGTTTAACACCCGTAGTGCCCTGTAGTGCACCACTACTCCTGTGTGACACCCACTCATTAAAGCAACCTGAACATGCCTTGGTTTGACTCTGGTGTGACTGCCTGCTGCTTGGGGCTCCAGCTGTGACACTACAGTTCCAGACAGGGTCCCCTGCAGCCAGCACCATGCCGGGTGCTGGCACTGTCACGGGGACAGCACACCCCTGCAGGATGGGCTCTTTGGCCAGCACCCAGGGTGGGCAGGAGGGAGATGGGGCCAGAGGTTGCACCAGGCCAGCACCAGTTCCCTACACAGTGGCTACGTGCACTGGGAGGGGGGTTACAGGCTTGGATTTAACCTGAAAATGGCACGGGGGGGGCTCTGCTTGAAACCCCACAGGCAGCTGTTTTCCCCAAAGCCTCAGCCAGGCTCCAGGAGAGCTGCTCCCCCCGACCTGGCAGCAGTACCACCACGAAGAGTTGTCCAGGCCCAGCTGCAAACCCCTTCTCCCACCCCACAGCCCTACCGCAGCACTGCCACGCACCCAGCTGGCCTGCCCCAGCAGGGAAAGCATCCCAAAAAACAGGTGAGAGCTGAAGTGATCAGCAGTCAATGCCTTTATTAAAACTACACCACTTTTAGATAAACATTTCGGTTTGAAGTTCCAAGCATCTCACTGGCCTCCTGCCGGGGCTGGGGGCATTGGGATCGCCGCCAGCCGCCGGCCCCGCGCCGGGCCCTCAGCTCTGCCCCGCAGGAAGGCAGCCAGCTGCCGGCAGCAGCGTGAGCTGGAATGTGCAGGTCACTCTCCACCGAGCCACGTTAAGTGTTCCTCTTCTGTCAGTGCAATAAATACAAGTGCATCAAACATAATTTAAGTGGCACAGTTAGCTTATGAGTATCACGGGTCAGAAACCTCAGGGCTAACCCCGCTAATGGCAGAAGGGTCTCAGTACGAGAACAAGCTACGGTCTGCTTTGCAACTAGGATGAGCCTGCAGGTATAACGGGGATGCATGCCGAGCAGTTTCTACTACGCTGTACACCCCTGAATGGACCCTTCAGGCAGCACGATTCGCTTCTGAGCACTACTGACTAAACCTACAGCACCACTTCCCTCTCCTGGACAGCGTGCTCCAAACACAGCAGTGAGATGGGCGGAGAAAGCTGCTGCTGGAGGTGCCCGTGGTGCCCAGAGCACAGCAGGGAGGCAGAAGGAGAAAGGTGGAAGAAGCCCAGGCTTGTTTTTGCATCAAGGACTGCGTGTCACTGCCTGCTTGTAACTACAGAGGAACAGCGTAGCCACCAGGAACAGGAAATTAAAAGGAATTGAGAAGTAGATGAGGGGAAATAAAAATACAAGAGTTCTTCCCACCCAAAGGAAGCACATAGCTGGCTGGCTGTGTATGGGGAAAATGGAAGACACCCCTTCCCGCATCCTGGACCCATGTTGATCACAGAAGGGGGAAGTCAGGCAAAACACAAGCTTAATGCTTTCCAGTTTAAACTCCCAACTCTGTAATTTATCTGTATAAGCCACTCCTAAGAAGTGCGTGTGAGAAAAGGGAGGAGCTCCACTGAGGATAACAGGGAGGGAAGCAGAAGTGATGTCCAGAAGGAAAACTGTATGGAACAGAAAAAAAAAAGGTATTCATCTTTTTCCCTTAAATAGATGTTGGAAAATGAAGAACAAAAAAAAAAATCTCACTTTATTTCCAAATGTGTGCAATTAGCCCACCACTTGCAGCACATTGTGACTGAAGAGCTAAACAAAAACACCTCTCACCACCTGGATCTGCAGTGTGTTTGTAATTACAGCCAGTTAGCGGGAAAAAAGGGAAGGCAAAACGTGTACTTCCTAGAAAGGGAACACCTCAAACTCAAGCAAGACAGCTGTGGTATGGAGACACGGCAAAAGCCATTCGCCTACAAATGAGTCTGTTTGTGATCCAAAAACAGCAGCAGTGTTTGGAAGTGAAAGAAACACCCTTGGTCATGACATACGTGTCCTAGGAATGTCTGTCCTCAGTGGTACCGCGCTGGATTGGCCAGGCCAGGCTCTGTTGTGCTTGCTTTTTTCACCATTTGGTACAAGCTCCTGGGTTGTTGGCACCCCTCCGTCCACATCAAAAAAGAAGCCACCAACTTCTTTCTTCTACCATCACAGACGCTGATGCTGGGAGCTGGAGTTGCCAAGGGTACACATCAGGACTGGAGTGGGAATCCCTGACCTCCGTTAGCGCCAGGGATGGAAGAATGGCAGACTGACCCACGGGGAGGGAGGAGGAAAAGGAGAGAGAGAGGGAGGGGAAGGAAAGAAAGGGAAACCGCTGCCAAGCAGCCAGTCTTCAGTGATGATGCTCATGTTCGGATACTCCCAGAAATTCCCTAGGAAAAGAAACAACACGGCAGTGACTCTCAGTTGTCCTACGCTCTGGTGGATTCTGTGGCTTCTGTTTCCCTGGCAAACACTGGGGCTGAGTGCTTGCAGCTAGAGGGAGCAGCAGCGAGCTTTGCTGCCACCCACCTAGAAGAGGTAAATGCAGCAGAAGCAGCTGCTCTGCAGACAGCTCCTCCAGAGCATCCAGCTCACAGCAGAGCCGAGACAGAGGGGGGAGCGCTCCCCAGCTTTCTGTGGTTCCCTTTCTGTAGCTCCCCTTCTGTAGGGCTGCCCCAGGGCCCCAAGCACCACCCCCCCATGGCGCGGAGCCCCCGCTGGCTGGGCTGTTACCGCAGTATTCGAGGTAGCTCTGGACTCCTGTAGATGTATTTGTGCCGGTAGCCGAGGTCTGTGTGGAACGGGACGAACTGCACCTTGTAGTCCCGGAAACTCCGCGACGTCGCAGCGATGTTGTAAAGCTGAGCCCGAGGGGAAGCAGGTGAGGGGGAAGCACGTGTCACTCCAAACCAGCTACCCCGAACTCAAAACCAGCCATCCCACCCCAAATCAGCCCCCAGGCCCCCAAACCTCTTTCAGGGGTGGTCCTGAGCTTTGCAACCTCTCGCTCAGCCTCAGACTTGCCCCCTCCAACAGCACAGAACCTGCAGCCCCTTCAGGCCATGTGTTTCTATGCACATCCTGCTGTTGCTGCCTTTCTGCCTGGCTTTATCAACACCCCTGGGGCGTTATTCTGGCCACCCCAGTTGCTTCCTCCAGGCAGAGCCACGTGCCTACCTTTTTTCCCAGATGAAACGGTACCACCGGGTCGTCCTCAGCGTGAAGGATGAGCAGGGAGCAGGAAATGTATTTCACACTGTACGGCAGACAATGACAATCAGGAGCAGGTAGACTGGATGCGTTCTCCTCCCTGCCCAAAACTACTCCTACACACAGAGAGCCCCTTACTGATGTCAGGCAAAGCCAGTTAAAAATAGAGCAAGCAAACAACTGCAAGGCTTCAACGCAGCACGCAGGGCTGGGAAGCGTGGGCTGGCCCCCAGCAGCCTCCCGGCACTGACAGCAACACGCCTGGATCTGCAAGGAAGCTGCAGTGACTGATGTGTGCCGTGGGTCATTAACTGCAGTTCAGGTCTTGAAAATGCTATTACACGAGCACCATTAATTCAATCTGCAGATTTTCTAGCAGAAGGCATCCTTGGAAGAGCTGTTTGCTGCTCAGGCCCAAAGCCGCTCGCATCACTGCAAGGCATCGTCCCCCAAGGTCTGGTTTGGTTTCGCAACTGGAAACCCAACTGCTAAGTGCTCAGCCTCTTGAATAAAAGGCTAAAAAGCAGACGTTATTATGCAAAAAGGAGGCTTATGCAAACGCACACCAGAGAAATAATCCCAAACCTTTGCAGTCCTGATGCTAGTGCTTAACGTGTAATGCACACTTGAAAAGCATAAATCACCAGGATCAAATTAGCATATCCCGGAGTAGTCTCTTTTGCATCTCTCCTCATTAAGACCAATTAAAAAGAAAGCTCCACAGTGCAAAGCTGTGCTGCATTCAAGGCTGTGAGATCAACTGAAATCCCTTCAGCAAGTACAATGCTTCGACATAAAAAGAGCAGAGAGCACAGTCTGCTCCTTGATGCTTGCCCTGGTTCACTGCAGCCACAGCTGAAAGCCCAGCGAAGACACTCACTTCTCATCATTTGCAAATTTAATGCCACTCGTCGTGATGGGGTCAAGGAAGAACCAGTCAAACCCGGGGAAGTATCTGTATATCTGAAAGGAAAAACTGGCGTTAGTGGCAGGCACTATCAGGACAGTTACAAGCAGCAGCAACAGGGCAAGCCTCTGCCGTCCCTGTAACATCCCTGAGCTGCTGGCTGTGCTCTCTGCAATGAGACAGGCCTTGTTTCCACCAGCACCTTTTTTCCTCTCCTGTTTCAAGCCCCTCTTATCAGCACGCTAAGGAGCAGGCTCTCAGGGAGCTTGCCATTACACACCACTGCTGGGAGAACCGCTGTGTACTTGCCACGGAAAAGGGGTGACTCCGCGCCTCCTCCCGGATGTTGGTGAAGGGAGATTCCAGTATCAGGGCATCCGGGGGTGTTTCTGAAAAGCCAAAGGCAACATGCTGAAATGCAGGGCTCAGGGCCTGCCTCGTGGGAGCAGCTGCCACCACGGCACGCCAAGGACAGCCTTGTCACGACACCTGGGACATGGGTGGGACGAGAGCAGCCCACCAGACTTACCTCTCTCGCATAGGCGTCTCACGAGATTTGTTGCGACCCTGGGAAGGAGAACAACGAGTGTTAATCCGGCACAGTCCCTCTGCAAAACACCGGGCTCTGGTGGTAGCAGGGGGCAGATGTACAACTACACTGCCACCGCACACTGCCTGCATTGTGACTTGGTTCCCACAGGTCTCCCAAACCCCACCGATGCCCACAAAGGGCATCAGGCACCTGTGTTTAGGTAAGGGAACAAGGCCAGGAAAGCAGCACACCACGTAGCCACTTTTGTAAGGGAAAACCGCGTGCACATGCAGCCTGTCTGGGATGCTCTTCCAGAATATCAAAGCAGCACGATGTTCTGCTCTGAGATGAACACAGACACAGGTTCACCACAGGAAGAGATCGGCGCAGTCCCGCTCGCCTTCCACTTGATCAAATAGCATCAGATTCTAAGTGCCTTTTTCCAGCGTATCCCTCTGGGCAATGAAGGTTTGAGACCAGCTCCTGCACAGTCATTCACTGTAGCCCTTCTCATTCTGCAGAGCGCAGCAGGGGAGCTGCTCTGCAGCAGCTATGCCACAGACCCCAAGCCAAGCCAGCCTGGGGATTGTGGCAAACAGCGCCTTCACCCAAAGTCAGTGTGTGGTGTTTGTCAGGAGATGCTGAGTCCCCCTGGGATTAGATACTCACCCTGTGCCTAAGGAGTGTCCCCAGATGTATACAGGGTTGTCTCCGCTTCTTGCTTTTATCCAGTCGAAGACGTGAAGGGCGTCATAGGTCATTCCCCTCTCAGACGGGCTGCCTATCGAGTCTCCCCAGCCTGAAACACAAACGGTCCCTCTGTGAGCTGCGTGAAATGCTCTGCAAAGCCAGACAGCTCTCCCCCTCGCAGCACACCTGCAGAAGAATCAGGCACAGGCAGTTTCTGCTCATCTCTCTGTGCACCTCAGCAGTTTGGGGTTAGAGCCCTGATTGATCAGCAGTCATTGAGACAAGGTAACTGCTGGCTGCAAAGAGGTTTTTGTGGGTTTGGTCGCCAACAAAAACACCAGCTGGATCCCTAACGCTGCCACACTATTCTTGTACCTCCCTGACCGCAACAGCCCAGCCCCCAGCCCTGAGCTGCTTCTGCACGCACATAACCAATTCCGAAGTGCAGTCCCTAAAAGCATACCAAGTGGATCCTTGGGATCAAAACCCAAGCACAAAGCTGTTGCAACCTCAGCTTGTCCATGCTGTCCGATCAGGGCCCTCCAGCAATCTTCCACCCTCCTGATTTGGCTCTATCCCTATTACAGGGTGTCTACACACCTCACGCTGAGCAGGAAGCATCCCACATCCCTTCTGACACCTACAGAGCAGCCAGAGAAGCTGCTGCCAGCAGGACTGAAAAGCAGGGCGAGCTCCTACAAATAAAACTCTGAGAAGAGCAGCAGATACTCGACTGCTGGTGGCACAGAGCTGCAAAACGGTCACAGCTCCTGCTAATTTTGTTGCCCTTTGGAATAATTTTGTTATGGAAATTTGAGATTTCTGGAAACGCTTTAAAGACCAGAAACATTGGCAACATCCAATACAGCTTCTCTGAATTGTCAACGCAGCAGCACGTAGTTACACATCACTAATAACCATGTCTCGTTTGTACAATTTAAAGGTAAGAAAAGGATGAGCTTAAAATTGAAAGAGAAACAGTAACCACAACTGATTAGCTAACAGCAAGTGTTTGCAAAACAACAGTTCCCCTGAGATTATCTTTAAAAAGAAAAGCAATTATTTTGTTACTTAGAAAAGAAAGATAGCCAGAAGTGTTTCACAATAACAGAAGCCCACATACCTCGATAATCAAACGTGACCACGTGGTACCCGAGGGAGCTGAGAACCTGGAGGGGAGAGAAACACACAGAGAACTCTCACAGAGGCCACCACAGTGGCCGTGCTCTTGCCTCAGGGCAAGGTGCAGGGACCTGATTTATAACATTATCAACCCGACTTGGTAAAGGAGTAATTTAAGAGCTTTTCAGCGTTTTCAGCGTTTCAGGTTTTCCAGTGAAACAGTACAACTGCTTCATTTATGCTGCTCAAACTTCCCTAATGTGAGCTCAACGTGCAAAGGCCCGTTTCAGGTTTCAGAAGGCTTAAACATATACACCTAAAACTTACAATTGCTCTATCGTGAAGATTTATGTCGCTAACAGGGGTAATCCTAGCAAAATCCATTAAAAGCAAGTAAAAATAATATCCCCACTAGGTAAACTTGCTTGGGAAAAGTGCCTTGGTAAAAACAGCACAAGCATTCTGAGCTACCATTGCTTGGTATGGCTCTAACAGCTCTGCACTGGATAAAAATCAGAGACACAAAAAGATTAAACTGCTGCTGTGACCTCTGTAGGATATGTGCTAGAAATGCCATCTTCGTATTGCATTACACTCTTCATCTTTTAATGGACCAAAGGAAATTGCGTGTAAAGCCAACACGTTGCTTTTAGTGTAAGTCAAATCCTGACAGTCTGAATGATTTCTGTTAATAGCTTCAGTCTCATTGAAAAAAAAAGAAAAAGAGAGAGAGAGCACCATACAGAGAGGGGTGTTGGCGATCCAGATCCATTGCTGGGGGGACTATGATGGTGACAGGATCTCCTTTTTTCCTTCTAAGGTCCATTTGGGATCCATCTTTGTACATTTCTGGTGCGCACAACAAGCTACTTTCTCTTCACCAGTCTGTGACTCTGTGTTACAACCCAAAATACCTTGCGGGGCGTGTTTTAAACGTATTGGATACATTCTCTTCCTCACCTCTAAAACCATTTCTGCTTAGTTCCCAGCCCTGCATCTCTCTTGCCGACCACTACCACGGGCGAGCTGCTCCCAGCCCTGTCCCCATGGCTGGGCCGTGGCCTCTCCCAGCCCCGCTCCTACCTGCACTCCTCCTCAACACACCCTGCGCCCCCATCTCCAAGGTCTCTGCTGTCACACGGGGTCTGCACCCCCCTACCCTGCATCGCTGTGCTGGCTGCCAGCAGCACCTCCTTTGACACAGAGTTACTCTATCTGGAACTTGCACACAGAAACATGACAGATTTTCTCTTTAATACTGTCTGTGTGGGAGTTGATACTGTTTGCGTTACCGTCACAGCCAAGCCACATCATCACTCAAAGCTCAGCAAAACAGAACCAGCCAGCAGCCACCCAGCCATGAGACGACTGCTGTGTTGTATATGGAGTGGTAATTCGCGTTGAGAAAACGGTTGATATTAATAAAGAAGGGGGAGACTTGGGAGTGTGGCCATGGAGGCTGGAAAGCCCAGTGGTTGATGATAATATCAGACTCTTAACAATGAGGCCATCAGGAATATAAAAGAGTTTAGAGAGAACAAAGAAGGGTGATTCAGGAGACTCCACGCAGTCTCCAGTTTCTTGTTCTCCAGCCATTAAGGCATGGAAGTTTCTGGGTGTTTGCTGTTGTTATATGCAAAGTTGTTTGACCAATGAAAAGTTGTTTTGAAAAGAACTGCTGTAGGAAGAAAGGTGTAAGAGGGGAGCCTGCCCTCAAGATAAAAAAAAAAACAAAAAACTCACATGTGGTTTGCCAGACAGTGAGGGAGCTGCGGGCTCCTTTCCTGATCCGACTGCTACGCCATGGGCCCCTCTGCTGCTACAGCCATCGAAGGCTTTTGCTGTTCTGCCCCCAGGTGACCTGGACGTGCCTTTGGACCCAGGCCTCATTGGCCTTGAAAAGGAGCTGGATATGCTTTTCTTTGGTCTGGGAAGAACGGGATACATAAGGCCTGAAGACCGAGTTGCTTGACAACTTAAAGCGAGACATCTTGTTCAAAAGGAATGGAAAATGGAGACTTGTTACTAATCAAGAAAAGGAATGGAAAATGGAGACTGTTAAGTCATGGAACTTAAAGGATTGTTTGTTACCTTTCCTGATTGTATGTATGTACAGGCATACTTGTGTTTAGTATGTTAAGCAATGTTCTGTATATTTAGAATGTTTGATGTTTGTGTGTGCGTGTTGGTGGAGCGCAGACTCCCCGCACACCCAGCGCTGTTTACTTGCCTTTTATACCTTTTAGAAATATTTCTTTTATAAATACTACTAAATTCAGATTGAGTTGAGACTTTATTTATAGCAGCTGTTAGGGCTAAACCAGCTGAAAACAGTGCTCCAGGGGGCTCCAAAGCAAGCTCAGAAGCTTTGCAAGCCGTGTTACCAGCAATAGCAGTGCTACATTCATTGGGCTACAAGGCTGCAATTTCCCTCTCTGACAGCTTACCAGCTGCAGACTACCACTTGTGAGCCCAGCAAGGATACTGCAAACCCTCCTGTGGCTCATGGCTTCTCTCCAGGACTGAGCAGTGGATTTCCTCGGAGGCAGCGCCCCATCCAGCAGCCTCAGGGTAACCTGCACAGGTCCAAGGGCAGCAAACAGCTCTTCATCATAACCCATTAACTGGTCGCTGAGTGTCTGATTTTATAGCCAGTGCAGCTTGCACAACAAATAAGTGCATTGTAGTGATTACAATGAGAGCTACAGCACGCCTGGCCAAGTTCAGGACTCCTGCAACCGCAGGACACCGCCCTCAGGGGGACTGCAGGCAGGAACAGTGATGCATCCTTTGGGCTGCCGCAGCAATTTGGGCATCTGCTGGGTGTACAACACTTGCTGCCTTCAGGGCTCCTTGCACCACCAGCTGGGCTTCCAGCATTAGCTGTTGGGTGCACCCCACTGCAAACTGGGTAACAACAGCACAATAAGCAGGTAAGATATTAATGAATCCATTAGGTGCTGCAGGACTGCTGACTCCGCCAGAATTACTAAACATCACTTTTGGTATGTCCACTTGTGTACTGGAGCCCCTGAGATGCAGGGCACAAAGTGCTTTCTTGCAGAGCCCGGTTTTCAGCTTCGCAATGGGATTTTAGTGCTAAGTCACAACGTACAATCCAGCCTTGTCCAGACCATTCAAAAATGATTTGCAGATCAGAAGACTGTATTCAGTCTTTCCCTTTTCATGTTTCCTTAAATGATGATAAAATGAAGCAGAGCAGTAAAAGCAAAGTTATGCAACAGATACTTAGCTCGATCTACGTAGTCTTCTGTGCTACCTGGGGAAGGGAAAGTGATGAAGAAGCCTCGAACATCTCCCCCTGCAGGACTTTCTGGTCATATGAGAGGTCTCATCATCATTTGTTTCCTTATTTTATCCAATTTATTAGCTATTATTCTTAAGTATCAACTCTTAATTAACCTGCTGACAGCTTAGCTATCTTTGATATGTTTGATGTGTTGGCTGCACTGGCAGCACCTCTTCCAAGTAACAAAGAGATGAACTTTTGTTTTAATTAGCAGTGTGCTAAGAAACCCCACTGCTGAGAACGGCCATGCCTGGAAAGAGCAAGGAGTGTCCTGAAGAGGCACAGCCAAATTCTCCTCTTGTTGCTGGGAGCCAGGTGCTGCAAGGTGACATAAAGTGAACTTGTAGACCAGAGACCAGGAATGCAGCGAGAGGAATCTGCCTGGCACTTGCCCTGGCCGGCTGCTCCTGCCCAAAGCACCAGCCCTGGCATAGCAGCCAGCAAACAGCAGGGCTGCCCTCGAGACAAAGCAGGCACAGGCAGCAGCACCCTGCACGCCCACCCAAACCAAGTTCTGCCTGCTCACAGCCTGGCACGGCACAGCCCCTGTGCTTTCCCTGTGGGAAAGCAAGAAATCTGGCAGCATCCCAGTCCTATGCCCCGAGGCTATTAAGCCTCTTTTGGTTTAGGTAGTGTTGTCTTTTAAAAGCGTATTTTTCTTTCTTGTTTCTCCCTTTAGAACCAGAAAAAGTCTCAGATGAAACTAATAAAGCTTCAGCTGCCTTTGGAGATAACACGTTTCCTTTGGTCCTCACCAGGATGTTTAGTGCAGCAGTGACAAATGTTTTCTATGTAGCAATTACTTACATCCCTATAACAATATCCCATTGTTTCTTTTGTTGCTATGAGGTTGGGTAATCTCATGCAATTGGCAAAAGAATCTCTGCATCAGCTCTCCACTCTCCCAGCACATCAATGCAGCAAGGACCAAAAGCTTCACCGCCAAATCCTCAACATAGAAGTCTGAATTGCAAAGGAGCTTGTCGTAGGCTGATCCTGACAAGGGTAGCTAGGAGAAGAGGACCCTTGTCTTGAATTTTAAAAGGTTTTGAGGACTCCTGTCTTGAGTTTTAAAAGGTTTTGACTTGCAATATTCAAAGCATAAATAATTTTTATCAACACAGTAACCCTGAATATATTAGTACATAATTTATCTGGAAACCAGCCTCAAGCAAAGAATAACTGGCCACATGTCCAGGGCAGAGGAAAGTGCCCCTCAGAGTGAGCTTGTATCTGATCATTGTCTCCAAACACGCATCCTCTCAGGAACCAAGGATTTCAGACACCTGCAGCTCACAGACTCTGCGCAGCAGTGACAGCCTCATTGTTCATTGTTGCTGCTGAGAAAAGCTGCTCGCATGAAGCAGTCACTTAGGAAGAAGGGGCAGACCTCTTGAGTTATTTCCCTCCTGAGCCTCTTTTAGAGGGCTTTCTCCTACTGCTTCCAGGGCATGAGTAGCAGCAGCAGAAGGGCCAGAAACCCAACCTGGTCCATTCTGCTGGAATAAGCATGTACCCAGAGTTTCTGGCGTGGTCCAGTACTAGTTTGGACAAAATCCCAAACTACAGCTTCTGCCTGTGCTGGCCAACACAAAATGCACTGCAGCAGAGGTTGTTTTTCTGGGAGTCAGCCAACTAGCTTAGCATACATGACAGTCTCCCCAGCTGCCATGTGCCAACCTCCAGTAACTTCGCATATCTTTCTTTTTTTTTTTTTTTTTTTTTTTAAGAAAAAACATCACCTGCCTCTTTGAAACTTCCGAATGACCTGAATTAAAAAAAAAGACGTTACTGCAGGGGATCTTGCATAAGTAGCTGCATTGCAATAAGTCTTTACGAATGCCAACACTGACACCAATTATAAGGAGAAAGAAACAAAAGCTAAATCCAGAGGAAAAACACAGCCTCAAATCCCTCTGAAACGAACTAGCAAAAATAATGATGGCTCTTTGGGGACACCTGGGGATGCGCTGTGTAACAACAGTGACTATACAGAGACTGGTAACATATGAAACAATACTCTCAAGAAGTACCTTAAGTCAGTGTACCAGGATAATCAACCAAATCATGGCTGTGATTAAATAAAGCTTTTTTTTTTCCCCCCCATAAACTGTTCTGAACGTATTCCTGGCAAAGAAGCTGGTTAGTTTGGTTGGAGCTGACAGGTAACAGCAAGTAAAAGACCTTTCAAATATTTTTTCAATGTGGTGAAGCATGCTCAGTGCTTACAGACTCCTCTAGGTGTGGGGTGTGTATGGCAGAAGGGAGCCAAAAGCCCTAGGGGCTCTCTGCCTGGCGGCAGTGGGCTCTAATGAGCAGTCCTCAAGCCCGTGCAGGTCTGACTGCATCAGTGCAACCGCCTGGACAACGTGCGGCCACTCACCTTGTACAGCTCCACGCGGTGATCCCCTCCTCTGGCAGAAATGATTCAGGAAGAGAATGAAAAACAAAAACAAAAGCCACATGTCAACATTTAAGCTTCCAGAGATAGGCTTGGGATTGCAGCTAAACGCAAGCATGCATGCCAAACATTAAAAACACTTGAACTGCTTTGTTACAGGCTACAAGAGGACACCAAGGCATTGCTGAGCTACTGAGAATATAGTTTAAAAGTTGACTTCTCCCTTTAAATTTCTTTGCATGGCAGGTAAAGACAATCTTTTCAACCCCTCCAACCTGCCTTTTCCAAAGCCTGTAATACAGCCAAACCAGCCTGCCCTTGCTGGCTTTGCAGATCCTGAGCTCCTGCCACCAGTGCTGTCCCAGCCAGTAACCCCGGCTCCCAGCAGAGCTCACCACATTAACCCAAGCACCTAGCCCTTGGAACCTCTCACCTGGCTTCTAGCACAGGGACAGAAAGGACACATGCAAAAGACCAAGCAGAGAAAACCAGAGTGGAACACTAAAAATAAGTTCAGGGGAAGAATTTTGCTTTAATGTTTTTTTCATAAATTGAAAACAAGATGCTAAAAATGGAAAGGAGAGGGAACGTGACATCACATGCATTAAAATACGTCCCCATTGTGACACTGCTAATCCACAATGGAACTTTACCATTGCTAAAAGTAGATTGTAGCCTGCACGCACATGAAAACCCTAAAACATTCCCACTGTGACTGGTTTGGTCAGCGCAGCCTCTAAACCAAACTGCCACTTTCCAGACCTCCCTCGAAGAACACACTCACTTGCCAGCCAAAAGCTGTCAGCTCCAACTGCGCTACAAAATACCTAACACAGCCAAAACCACTCAGGGCACAATGTAAGGGGTTGCTTGGAAGTCAAGTTGAATCAAGCAAGTCTGAGGAAGAAGACACTTGCTTGAAAAGCCATTCTAGACATGCACGCACTGGTGACTTCTCATGCATCCCTCAAAGTGCAATACATAATTTTTTTATTTTTTATTCTTTTAAGACATCAAGTAAACATAATTTCTGCCTCAGCTCCAGACCACTCAGCCAACCCAGAAAGCAAAGGCAGTGCCTTTTACTTATGCTTTACTGATGCAGGCTGCATTAAGCAGGCCTTTCACAAGAGACTGAAGACACGCTGTGGAAACACACAGCAACATACATTAAAGCAGGAATGGCAAAGCCAATACGACTCCGGCTTCCTCCAATGCACAGAGTGAAGCAAAACGTGAGGTACACAATCAATACATAGCTCAGCACTTTATCTCAGTAACACTTGGGGGAGCCAAGAAGTAAATCTAATCAATAAGCACACAAAGGAGATACTGGTCCTAAATTACCACCATTAAGCTGCAGAGCAGTTTCCATTATTATCATTTGCTACAGCCGATAAAGACAAGAAAACAAACCAAGCAGCATTTGAAAAATAAGGCAACAATTTGATTAAACCTTGTAACACATCAGCATGAGAAGACAACAGTTTCTGAAGGCCCATCTGCTCATGCATTCCTAGCTCACAGCATGCAGCTTCCACATTTTGCCCCTATACAGAAAAAAGAACACTACTAAGGTAAGAATTTAGGTGAACAAGGGCAAAGCTCCTGCAATGTAAAAGCTAGAAAACCTTCACTACCAGCACAGTTGAAACAGCATTGTATTACAGCAATGCTTCTGCTCTTGCAGAGTATCTATAAGCAGACATCAGCTTCAAAAGAACACACGGTCAAAACTCAGAAAGGAGCCAATACTCTTTGAAAGATGTGTATTATAAAAGAAAAGAAAAAAAAAAACAACACGTACTAATAACTGAACAAAATCTCTGCATCAGGCAGAGATGTGGCAGGAAAACCATGATACTGCGAAACACCCAGGAAGCCCCACACTGACTGATGGCTTTTAGCACCCTGAAAGTTTAGAGAACCTGACCACAGCTGCTAAGGTTACAAGTTTTAGAAATGCTCCTGTTCCAGACAAATGTCCAAATGTCCTGTACATGTGCAATAAGGAAACAGACCAGCACATTACCTTCCTCTTTCCATCTGATTTTCCTTCCTCAAAATGTGTTAATTGCTAAAATAGGCTCGTGAAAGGAACTTGAAAGCTCATTTAATATACATAAAAGCATATATACAGAAGAGGTAATCCTATCCCATGTGTTGATTCAGAAACCATTATACTGGAAAATGTGCGTCACAGCCTCCTGGCATGCAGAGGACAGAAAGCATCTGCAGGATCAGATCTCTCTGATAATGCAATAAATCTGTTCTCACATTCAATAAATGGAGAGGCATCATGCCTTCAGACATGCTTTAAAAAAAATAATAATAATCTAAAAGCAATTTGGTGCTTCTCCTTTCCTTTTAATCAATGTGCTGAAGCTGTAGCAAGATAGAAAAAAACACAAGGCCTAACAGAGCTGTTGCTGGTTTGTGTCTCACCTTGTCCCCGCGTTGCCGTGCAAATAAAGGATTACAGGATGGCTGGAACCCAAAGCATCTTCAAACCACAACTGGTCCTTCCCCCGGGCATTCTTCCCTAAGGCTGCAGGGACTGTGTGCCTGTATCCAGAAGGAAAAATACAAATATATTTATTCCCTTGTTGCTAATTAGTATTTGCAACTCAAATTGAGTTTTTCTGATCATTTCATCCAGAGTTAAATCCTTCACACACTCTTGATAAAGCTGCCATCCCTTGCCAACAAGTGAGACATTTTAAAAACCCAGTGACTAGTGTTATTTCTACATTTAATCTCCTATGCCTTCAAAACTCAGGGCTAGGCAAGGCACCAAACTTCCCGGACCAACCCAAAGCACAATTACTGAACTTCCGGCTGTTCTACAGGAAGAATCTCAGCCCCTAGGCTTTTATGGTGCTTGATTACTTCAATCAATGGACTTGTACATCATAAACAAGATTCACAGCTAGGTCAGCAGATATTCAGAATAACAACCAAAGTCAGCTGATTTTGGAAGGAACAATTGATAAACAAGAGGTACAGCTGAGTAAGGAAATTTGAAGAAAAACAGGTGCTCAAGTTCTGATGAGAAGATAATGTATTTTATTTTCAAGCACTAGGTTCTTGAGGGTGTAACATCTCAGCTAGAAAAGCTTTAACCTAGAAAACCCAGGAATTTTTAACTCACAGCTGTTCTTCAATAGAAAGCATAGCTGGACAGCCTGTTAGAATGTGTTCAACACTAGTGGGGAAAGGAAAGAGATAAACAGACCAAAGAAAAGGCAGGCATTCAAACTGGGTAATTACTCCAGAAGACAAACACTGAAAGTGAGTACATGCCCACAATCACCTCAAACTGTTGATAAAGGAGCCAGCTTACAGCTATCTGAAGTACGAAGGTGCTCACATTCCTTTCTCCTACGAAGAAAGGCAAATTCCATCCACCACACCTTCCCGCAGACATAGACATGATCAGAGGACAAACCAGCATGCAGGAAAACACGTTAAGAAAAAAAAATCTACTTGCTTGCATGCAGCAGCCAGACATTGAGTTTTCGAGGAGGAAAAGTGCCCAAACAGCTGTAGGATCCCCTGTTCTGCCCCAATAGTTCCGCAAGCTTGTGAACAAAGCTGGCTGAGGAGTTTGTTTCAGGAGCATAGTGAACACAAAACCTTATGTTAACATTAAAACAAGGCTCCAAACTTTAGCGAAGGTCCCGTTCAAAAGGTCACACACTCCCAAGCAAAGAGAAACTCTGCTGCCTTAGAGGACACACACAGGGTACACGCCCACAGCTAAACCCTCCAAATCCCACGGCTTACAAATCCAGCAGCACTGGCTGTATTAAGCAACAGTACTTTTCCCTTCACACCTGACACAGCGTCTAGGCTATTTTTTCAGGTGTTTGCTGATCTTGTGTATGCATTCGAACTGCGGGCACCTCTTGTTCAAAGCCAGCAGGGACTTTCCTGTGGCTTTGAAACTCCTGGGTTTCAGACACAGTAGAACTTGGTCACGAGGAGCAGATGCAGAAGCTGGTTTGAGCTGGCCTAATAACGTGGCAAGTGCTGAAAGCAGACCTTTTTCAAACAAAGAACCAGTCATCTGAGCCGGTCCCGGTTAACAAGGAGCTAAAATTAACTGTCCTTGCCTGGGACCAGAAAAATCTTCACGAGTAAAAGCGAGCACTGACACTGTCACTTGTTCTGCTAAGAGAGCAAACGGCGTGTTCCTTCCTCACCCACTCTCCAAACCTTACATATGTTTTGTACACAGAATATTCTTCCTCCTACTCTGAACACTTTGATCCTGTTTTCCCATCTTCCCCCACATTTACTGTGCAAAACAAACTATGAACGGCAGTCAAATAACAGAACTTCTAATTCCTCAGGTCTGGTCCGCCTTTGTAGCATGGCAGAGCCTTTTTGATCCCAAATTATGAAATTTCTCTGAATGCAAAGGTTGTCCAATTTTGTTTCAGCCAAGCTCCAGAGATCTGCATGCTTTTCAACATGAACTCAGCCACTTGGCAGGGAAAAAACACGAGCATCCACAAATCAGAGCAGGCAAAGGCCGTCACATGCACAGCAAAAATACTGCACACGCAATACTGAGAACAAAAGGAAAGACTAGGGGTGCACAGAGCACGCTGCACAAAGCAGGTGTCCTTACCAGACTCCAATGGTTACATCCTCCTCTGGCTGAAGGTAATAATTACAGGTGTGGTTTAAACCTTGATCTTGTGGTCTTTTCAAGTCAATGAAATATGGGACCCTCACTGAAATACAAAAGAAAAGATGAAAATAAAAAGAATAATTAGACTTTAATTTTTACCTGTATTTTCTTACAAAACAGTGTTACCAAGGCACTGGAGAGCTGTACAAAGCAGTCCACTGTGCCAAGAAGACCTTTCTTTTTTTGTGTGAAAGGATGAAATGAACTACAATCGTGACTAAAACATGAACATCAAATACAGCAAGGTAAGACGCAAGCAACCACCAAAAAAAAAAAAAAAGCCAGGAACAGGCTGAAATAAAGAGGTGGGGAAGCCAGACAAAGCTTCCTGTGACACATACCAGAGATGTGAACCAGCTCTGCTCAGTCTGCTTTAAAAATCTCCCAGGCACATGACAACCACTCCTGCTACATCAGGGCAGTGGGTGAGCTGATTTGGCCTTTTATTGCTTGCAGTAAGGGCAGTTACTGATGGGACAAACTCACCTGGGACATCCCAGAGTTGATGTCTGATGTGTTTCAGGATGGCATGTGGTTGCAGCCTTTACATTTAAAAAGTCTACAGGAGATACTGTATCATAATAGCAGACACCACATTCCTCTTGCCATGGAAGAGTAAGATAAACTGTCAAACGCTGGCTTTCCAAGCCTCTGAGGGGGATGTGCAGTTTGGTAGCCAATTCTCTGGTGACTGGGGAGTGATTGCTGTCCCTCCCAGACACCTCAGCATTTAAGAGATCACATTAGGCTCAAGACTTTATCTCTTCAGATGAGCATCCCTGCAGCCCCAGAAAACAAAACAGTTGCACCTCAATTCAGTCCTCCAACTGCTCTACATTTCCCAGCCTACAGACCACAGCTGGCTTTGCTTGTTGCTCATGTGTTTGAATCACTGAGCATCACATCAGGAAGAGTCGAACTTCCCTCAGATGTTCAGCTTTTTTTCCCCCATTGCTTGGTTCAGAATCTCTCTCCTTGACATTTAGAGGCACAATAACCATCACACCAAAGCTTTTGTTGTATTAACACCCAAAGAAGCACCGCTACTGGTGACAGCCACATCTCACTTCGCTTACCCCAAACACCACAGCAGGCAAGGGCTGTGTTAACCTGACAAGCCTGGAGCCTTAGACTGCAAACCCATGCCTGAGCACGTTTGCTCTCATGCAGAGGCATTTGTTTTGTTTAAAAGGGTATCTACAGGTCACCTGGATCCCTGCAAACACTAAACGTGAGAGTCCAAAACCAAAGGACGTGTGCCAGCACAGACCCACCGGGTCAGCACCAGATGGGGAAGAGCATTGAGTCGTGCTCAGGAGGTTAAAAAGCAATGCGACCACTGCTCTGAAGGAGAAATGCCACTCTCCAGTGGAGAAGAATTACTCAGGCTTCCCAGTGTGCTTCTAGTAAGTGTTCTTTCTACAGAACTACGAAGGCAAGCAGTTGTCTTGGAGTGCTGTCACAAGGAAATCGGTGACTGCCATTATTTTAGAGCAGTGGGAACAATACCACAGAGATCTTAGCACAAGGACTCCTGAGAGAGTGTTACAGGACAATTATTTTCATCACTTGGGAATAAAGAGGGGCAGGAATTTCAGGGAGACCTAACAAAGCTCTGCAAGGGCAAATGAAAATCATCACGAACGAAACCGAGGTGATGAAAATGGAAGCAACCTGCGTTACTCACTGTTACCCAGCTGCCTGTTCTGACAATCACAGCACAAGAGCTGGCCCTGTTCAAAGAATACATGTGCATACTTCACAGCAACCATGAACCAAGGTGTTAGAACACACAGAGAATGCAATCAAAATGACAAAAGTGATATAAAAGCAACGTATATACCCTTGGTCCTCTTAGCCAGAGTTTGTACAATCAAAGGAAAAGATTTTACGACTTCCTTAGAAAGCCCAAGTAAGGTTTAAACGACAAATTGAGATTGCAAAGAAGCATCCCTCATAGCGATGCTCCATCATTTTCTACCCTGTGGATACTCAGGCTCCCCCGGGAGCTAAGCCAGCCCTCCAGAGCCATCCCACAGCCAGTTTGACCGAATGCAGAGGCCGAAGAGACACAAAGAAAGCATTCAGCGTGCCTGCGTGAATAGGTCTCTTCTGTTCTGCCCCAACTAAACTGCTCTGCTGAAGTGCTTTCAGGTGAAGAGTCATGGCCTGGAAAACAATGCGCTGGATTTAATTTCCCCCCCTGTTCATGCAGCTTTGTTAAGCCTTTTGGAGAAATGTATTTGATGTGTTGCACAGTTTTCCTGAAGGAAAGCATTTGGGCTGAAAGCTGGCTCCAGTTTGGTCACTGCATTTATACCAAAACGCACTGCAGAGACCACCAGGGCCGCAGCCAACGCTCTGCAAGCCACAGCTCAGAGAACTTGCAGCCTGTGAAAGCTCACATCCTTCACAAGCCGTAAACACGCAGGGGCGGGGAAGTTACAGCAGGCAAATGAAACACAAAAGACATTCCTCCCCTTCACCCTTCACCCAACAGAGCGGGCCACTTACCGAAGTTGAGGAAGACCAGCTTCGCCTGAATAGCAGGACAAAGTTTGACGAGAAACGGAATGGCTACGTACACTCCCAGCAACCAGATTATCAGCCTCCGCAGCCGGAACCATAATCCGTATCGCCTGCGTAAAGAGGGGAAAAAAATAAAGAAAGAAAGGCCTGAATACAGCAGGAATTTTATGAACGGGTTGTCACAACGATCTGCGTGCTTGGTGCATTGGAAAACGACTTCGTTTATTCTTCGAACAAAACTAACTTGGAGCTGTCGAATCAGCCTCAGCTGTTTGAGAGCAGCAGGAGCCAAGCAAGCTGTCAGCTGATGGCACACGCCTTCAAGAAGAGGAAGAGAAACTCCCCTCTGATCACATTCGAAACCACTCTGTAACAGCTTGTTGTGTTTTTTTTCCTGATGACTTCACAGATTTCAAGATCTCTGGAGAAACATATCACACGTTTGTCTCCAACGAGAAGCACTTACCATTTTAAGCACTATCAGCAAGATTTTTTTTTCCCTGGTTACATTTTCACATATTTTGAGGAACTGTGTGTAATGAGACAGCCTGATCCCAGACCGATAAAATCACACGCGATCGCACGTACAGACTGGAGCAGAGATTTTGCCTCGTCCAGCTAAAAGGGGTCATACCCTCCAACGGCCTGGAAAGGAAACCTTTCCAAGTTATAGAACACGATGAGATTTACTTGACTGACACGCTCTGGACAGAATCACTGAGTGCCACTGCAGGCAGGAATTAAAACGCACACAAACCCTGAATTCAGGCACCAGCACTTCTCTGCTCTCCAGCTGACAGCCCGGAGCAGGAACCACGCCGCACGCCAGCAGACAACCAATTTTCACCATCAGCAGTTCCTGCCAGCAGCTGAAGGCTGAGATCAACTTTTCCAAGAGGCCTGAAGTTATCACTCTGTTTGGTGGTTCTAGGAGGCGACATGCTGAACTTCTCCTGGAGATGAGCATACAGCTAAAACCAGGATGGAAATAATCTAATCACACACCAAAAACCCCTGTATCTCCATAGGTTTTGCAACCCTAGGCTAAAACCAAGGGTCTCAACAGCAGGCATTCTACCCAGCAGAGAAGAAATCCTCCCCACAACTCTGCCTTTAGGCTTTTGGCACAATTGCTCGTGTATTTGCTGGGAATGGGCAATCCTCCTACATGATCCCAAACCCACACCCATCACACCACTGCCTACCCTCATGTACCTGTCCGTCTCCTCATGTCCTGGGTTACACAGACTCCAAATGGATTCCCTTTTCTTAACAACCTGAGCTGCTGTTTTCCAAAAGAGAAAGAAAAACGTTATTTAAACATCAACAACCAAGCCTGGCTGCAGCAAGGGCATGCTGAAAGGCTCAAAATATCATCCTTACCATGGAAAGCCTGACAGTGGGGACGTGAAGAAAGCCAACGAGGCTTCCAGTGGTGTTTCCATACCTCGAGCCCACTTTCTCAAGGCATTATGGAAAACAGACACAGCAAAGGACCGGCAGAGGAACAGGCATAGCGTCAGCAGAGCGTTGGTGGTACCGAAGCCTCGGTGACCCAGCTCCACCCCAGGGAGAGCAGCAACTGGAGGAGGAGGGCACAGAGGTCCCGAGGGCACAGGCACAGGACACGAAGCCTGCCCACAGCCGTGATCCTCCAGAGCAGCCCAGCTGGCATCCTCCAGAGCCAGGAGCTGAGAAATGCCACGAGGTGAGGCGAGCACACAAGGAAACCCCCTGCAACTTTGGCAAAAGGCACCCAGTATTTCATTTGGGAGAAGGGCAACCGCAGCACTCTCTGCTCTCAAGCTAAACCTTTCTTTCCACAACCACCCCCACATCAGCACACAGCACCTTTTTTTTTTTTTTGTCACTCAGCAAGGTTCGTGGGAGAGAGCTCACCGAGGTTCAGTTGCTCAGCCTTCATCATGTTTTGCTTCTCTTCAAGGACGGCATCTCTCTGCTAAACCTTTGGGGTTTGGCTCTGAACCCATCCAGGCACCAGGAGAAGACCCCAAACCACAGGTTCTCCAAATATCCCCCCTGCAGAAATGCTGAACACAACCCAGGCACGAATTGGGAAGAGAAATTGCTGAAGACTACACTGAGAAATGCCATCAGAGCAAAGGAATGGTTTCAGCTTCTGCTTTTTCTCCTTAGGAGACCGAAGAGAAACACTCTTTCCTTCTCTCCAGCACCCCATGCCAAACGCTAAGAGGTAGTGTGACATCTACACCTCATCACCAGGGAGATGGCTGCTTGAAATGCAACCAGGGCAAAGCCTCTGCCCATCAACAAGCAGCTTCCCCTCTGCTGATAAATCCAAGACGAGGTGCTGAAGTGTGCTCTAAGTTATCTGCTAAGTCCTTAGTGAGTGATTTCACCCAATTAAACGGCTCTTGCTCTGCAGAAAAGCTACCGCAAGAAATAAATGCCCTGCACAGGGAGCTTCTGGTGTGCTGGGGCAAAAGCAGCAGCAACACGCTTCTCACCCCCAGAAAACTCAGTTGATCTTAGTCAGAAAACACAGGCAAGTTAGAGAATAAGCAGCTGCAAACTGGAGGCATTGAAGAATATCACAAACAGATTTTCAGGAACAATGAAGGTAATGTCTTAAAATAAAACAGGGAAAAAAATCATTCGCTGAAGGCCTCTGGAACGTCAGTGGACCTTCAGGCCCTAACATCCTTCGAGAAACTCCCTTCCGAGAAAACTCCAGGGTCTGGTGAGCAGCAACTGATAAACCTCACTTTTGAGGCATGCTCTGCATCCAGATGCAGATTAAAATCACCTCCCCTGGAGAGCACCTGAATCACTTCTCTATCAGAAGCACGCGAGGTGAGTTTCCATCAGGATCTCCGTATCAGCCACACTACCAGGGTGAAAGGACAGCCCTAGGGTGAAATGGGGCACTGACACCAGGAGAGCTTCAGTCCAGCAAGAACGGGACAAAATTTATCAGAAATACACGTGCACTGGGCCTGCAGTCCCAAAAAGCCATAGGGACAAGTATACACATAGCTTACGTGCCCTTTGTCATCTAGGGGAGACAACGGTAAAGCAAAGCACTTGTAGATGTTGAGGAGATCCATCTGCATCTGTTCCAGTGAGTGCTGTTTCTCCTGTGTGCTCTGGTGTCCCTCAAACTATCAGAAAGAATAAACAGCATGAATATTGGCATAAAAGTACGTTTCCCCACTTCTCTAACAGAAAATATTCAGTCAAAATAAAAGCCAGTACATTCCTCCCAGAGAGGAGGATCGAGAGCACTGGCAAGCCTTCCTTTTAAACAAGAGATGGTTTCAAGCTCAGGTAAGATCTTTGGGAGCATCCACCTCCTCCCTGCAGATGTCGGGGTGGGCGGTATTGCACAGGGCTCCTCTTCTTGCAGGGCCTCCTTCAGGAGGTGAGGAGCACCAGGTCACTCTTCTCCCTCCGTGCAGGCCACCCAATCCGCCCGAGCTGATTAGCCTTTTGTTGTATTTCACTTCTTCCCTGCCAACTACAAGAAAGCGAGCCTACCAGCCCTCCAACCGCGTGAAAGCACATCCAGAGAGAGCCTCCCAGCTCTCAATCAGCTCACAGCCAGGCTGGGGGCTCATCTCCACTCCAAAACACGACATAAACCTCTGGCCAGCTGGCGCAGCGACGTGCAGCAGAGCAGTTTTGCACCGCAAGAATAATTTGGGTCTTTTTCTCCCCCTGTTTTGCTGCAAAACCCGTTTTATGTGCAGGCAAATGCAAACTGAGAAGATGCTAATGTCAAAGGGTTTGTCCCCTCCTGGCTTCTGCGTGCTAGAATGAAGTCGCATAGGGAAACGGGCCCCACGTGACTCTTTTATTTCAGGCCAGGCTATACAAAACTCTCCTTAATGCAGGCTTCGGCCAAGCCTTAGTTCTGCTTCACTGGAGGCACTGTATCGAGAGCAGGAGGCTGAGTTATAGAAAACCCACCCAGTCCTGGAAACAGATCTGCCCTTGAGTTCATGACAGCCGGCGGGAACGCAGAAGTCTCAGCTGCTCTGCTGTTACGAGTCGCAGCAATCTCCCCCCTTGGCATCTGGACCCTTTGCAAGCAGCATCAGCGCCCTGCAAAACAACTCCGAAATAAAAAGCAAAGGCCCCCAAACTCATCTTGCTATACCAGAGATGAAGCAATCATCTAAAAAAAAAAAAAAAAAGAACAACTATAAACAAAACCATAATCCTGGAAACATGACAAATTTAAAGGGGTATTCATGGTTTTTTCCAAGTGTGCTTCATAAAATAAAGCAATAAAAACTTCACGGACATAAACTGTCTTGGTATCTGCAGCTTCAAGCAATTCCTAAAAACTCTTTGCTCAAGGTATGGAAAACAAAGAAAAATGAATCTACCAGGTGCCTTTGCTACTTCTTAACTTCCTTATAATCTTCCACTTCAGCTCTCGGCAGAGCCACTCTGCCCTCTCAGAAAGAAGCCAGCCGCACGGCCTCACCACTTCAGCACACCTCTCTCCGGACACGAGGAGTCTGGAAGGCTGCAACCTCCTGAAAACAGACCGAAGGCACTACACGGCAGAGAGCTGTGAGAGCACATTTTTTACAAGGGGAAAGCACTCGAGGATTTGTCAAGCACTCCAACGCCACTCCACTCCTGTTCATTGTTTAACCACAGGCTCCCTTCCAGAGCAAGGCTACTGATACACGGCAAAAAAACATCTTTGTACAATCCACTGGCTAACACTGCGGTGTTTTCAACCAGAGAATAAATTGTTCCTGACACGTGCCATGCCTGCCAAGGACAGGACAGGATTTACCGACTGTCACCAACGTCGCAGAAGGCAACTTGAGATTTCAGCTATTCAGATGAGCTCGGGAAGCTGGGTACCTATTTGTTCTGACAGCCTCCATAATTCAGGAATGAAACCGCCTGTAAATAAAACCAATCCAGCCCTTCACCCAACAGCAAGCCTTCCCAGGGAAAGCTGAGCGTGCCTGAGTGTGTTAGAAGCTGAATAAAGCTTTACCTGGTAGGCAGAGAGAGCAAAAATTGAACCTCTGGATCTGGCTGTGCTGCTATGTGCTTCTGTTTGCACCTAGGAGAAAGTGTAAGACAGGGGCAAACAAAATGC